TCATAATTTAAAAAATAATATTTTTTTTCCTTTTCAAAATTGTCCCTTTTTACTTCTCTTAATCCTTGCCGCTGCAACCTTACTTCTATTTCATCTTTTAATTGCATTGAAGACAACTGCACACAGCCTCCTGTACCGTTCGTTTGTTTGGAAAGCCATCTTGTCTTAATTTGTGGTAAGCCATCCCTCCTTGGGTTAATTCATGGCCAACCTCTTCTGTTTTTCTTCTTCTTCTTTTTTCTTTTTATATACATTGTTAAATTTTTATGCTTTTTTTATGAGATTTTTAATATATATATATATGGTTAGATTTTTATTTTTATTGTTAAAGTTATTATTTTACCTTACAAATTGGTTTTTATATTAATAAAATATGAAATCTCAAGAGATAAGTACAAATTATTAAAGTGCTAGATAATATGAAGAAAAAGAAATGTCCTAGTTATTTGAGAAATCATTTGAAATTCATGATGATCTCCTTCAACGCATGAAAAGATTTTATTTAAAAAATAGATACACAACAACCATCAAGAAATCTAAAGAAAAATCACTTGATTATTTTATAGAAAAAATAACTATTTTATTATTTCCATTACCATTTGTGATTAAGAATGATTTGATTTGGAATTTGTATGTTCTGTTAAGTGGGAAAATCTACCTTGAGCATAAAAGTAAGAAATTTGTGAGTTAAATACAAGGAAAGCTACTTCACCTATAGCCAATTGGTTTTAAATTGGATGCAAATCTTGTGTTGAGCCTACATACAAGATTTTTAATATGGTATCAGAACTCAGGTTCTGCCCTGAGAAACCCGTGTTAGCTCATTTGACAGGACACGAAGTTGTTACCAAGCCTATATTTAAAAGAAGCGTAACTCACGTGACAGGATCCGACATTCTGAGCGGGCCTGCACGTGAGGGGATGTATTAAGTGGGAAAATCTCATATCGAGTATAAAAGTAAGAAATTTGTGAGTTAAATATAAGGAATGCTACTCCACCTATAATCAATTGGTTTTAGATTGGATGCAAACCTTGTGTTGAGCCCACATGCAGGATTTTTAATATGTTCAGTATTTTTTTATGCTAAAATAACTTGATTATTCTAAAGAAAAATAAAAAAAAAAGTCAAATTTATTTTTGAAAAGGGAAAAATATGGAATAGAAAGAGGGCTGTAGCGGTAAAGGTTAAGAGAAGTAAAAAGAGATAGTTTTGGAAAGAAGAAAATATTGGTTTTAGAATCATGAATAAATATATCTATTTATATTTTTAAGTGTGATATTATCAAAATAGAGTGTAGCGATAATCTCATTATTTTTTTAAAAAAATTGGCAATGGATTAGGTCCAAAAGTCTTGATACCAAAAAATAAAAATGCCAACCTTATATTCCTAGAGAATAGACAAATTAAAAAATAAAAATTACGAAAGTCCTTATATTTAAAATTTTAAAATTGTATGTAAATTTATTTAAATAATATTATTTTTTAATTTTTTTGCATATTAATTTATTAAAATATTTAATTTTTATTATTATTATACTTAACATTTTTATTGTTCAAATGATCACGATGTTTTTCTATTTTTTAGAAAATTTTATTTATAAAAAGTCTAATTAGAATATGTACCATATTGATAGGGGTAAGTGCTTCTACCCCTATTAAAAGATTAATTCCTAAAAATTTCACAATTAAATGGAGCATCCGCAACCAACGAATGGTTGGATCAAGTGGCAAACGGCTTGTTCCAGTTTAAGCAAGGTCTCGAGTTCGAAACCTTGTGTACGCAGCAGCCTTCGTTGGGAGACCCACCCACCATTTTGGTGCACCACAGCTAGTCGAGTCCGGAATAGTCGAGGCGAAACTCCGAATACCGAATGGGAAACCAAAAAAATGAAGCATCCGCAACTTACTTGTTGATTCAGGTGCACTAAATTCTTGTCAAATATTCAAATTTTAATAGCTGCATTAGCCGCCCCTATCTCCCTTTCTCCTAATTACACTCGTTCAA